TCTCTACAGTCTGTTGCAAACTCGTGAAGAGATCTGGACAGACTTGAGTATGTACACGCATAAGCATATACAAGTTAGTAAATACATATACAAGCACTTGCAAACGTATACCGATGTACGCTTCTAGGAGAAAAGAACATGTGAAACTGCGTACAAGAGGTGTCCAGCCCTCGAGGCCCTGCCTCTTCGCCTTTGTGTCTGCTTGTTGCCTCAAGGCAGCAGCCTTGAGTGCAGCTTCCGCTGCTTTGCTGCTGCCGCAACATTCGGCGAGGAGGTGGAGCAGGCTGCTACCAGCAGCAGCCGCAGCAGCCTCTTCGGGGCATAGGTCTAAGAGCAGGAGAAGCACTCTCTCTCGACCTGCGGCAGCGGCACACTGTTCACACAGACCACCGAGCGAGCCTCTCACAGACGTTCACAGACCGCCTTCCCCTTAGCATAAACGCGACAGCCTTCTCACATACCTCGAGTTTTTCTGTTACAGCTGCTGGTGCTGCAGCTACTGGTGCTGCTGCAGCTAGTGGTATTGCTGCAGCTACTGGTGTTGCAGCTGCGGCTACTGGTGTTGCTTCAGCTACTGGGGTTGCTGCAGCTGCAATACGTGCTTCCCGTGTAATTGGTGTCCAACCCCAAGGCAAAATATGGATGTGGTCACTGACTGTTCCCCTAGGACCACCCCTACAACGATAATTCAAGGCCAGCTGCCGTTGCAGACACTGCTATAGCATTCAATGGGCAAAACCCAATCAACAGCTAGTGGGCTCCTCCGCAAAAATTGCCGACGATTTGTAGCTTGTAGATAATTCATGTGCGTATTGCATACGTGTACACATAATACNGCAAAAATTGCCGACGATTTGTAGCTTGTAGATAATTCATGTGCGTATTGCATACGTGTACACATAATACAGGCGTAGATATATATGCATGTATAATGCTGGCTCACATGGAATGCTGTCCAGCCATCGAGTTCCGCAAACTCCGCAGCTCCAGCGCCTTGACGGATGAGTTCTTCGATGATTTCAGTTGAGGCCACAGCTGCTGCCAGTCTGCAGCAGCAAGCAGCAGGCAGCGGCGACAGTAGCTAGTCGGTAGCAGGAGCAAACGCTCGCTCTGTTGCAGTAAGCAGTAGCTGCTTGCTAACGACAGCAGCAACTGAGGCGTGACCACCAGCAGAAAAGACAGCGAAGAGCATTTGTTTGATTTATATTCTTTGTAGACAGTAGCTAGTCCTGCGTTATATGAGATTTAAAGGGGTGTGTTGTGCTAAGCTGCTGCCATGCCTCAAAGGTGTCCTCAGCTCAGGTCCTTTCGCCTCCGCTATGAAGAAACTTGAGGAGACCCCAACGGAACGCAGCAGCCTCTTTACCGTGAATATGTCGCCTCTCTGAATTGCTAACATCAGGTGAGCGCCCTCTGCCGAGAGAGGAGGCACTCCGTTATTGGGTTCAGCAGCTGAGGAACAGCTTCCAGAAGCCAACACTGACTTTATCGCTGCCGCTGCTGCGGCCGCTGCGGCCGCCGCTGTTGCAGCAGCTGCTGCTTGTGCTGTTCGTTCTGAGGCCAACGCGAAGGGCGACTGGCTGGACTGAGGCCGCCGCCCGTGGAGGAAAGACTGTGCAGTTCACAGAATGCAACAGTTGACCTGAGACCTCAAATTCTCTGTACGTATCATCCAATCACCTTTATAGCATCTGTGGTTGTATAAAGTTTTCGGGAGGTCACCAGTGTCTGTCGTCCGCCTAGGCAAGAGTTCAGCACCCTTACAACCTATCCCGCCTCACTATGCGCTGGGTGCTGAAAGTTTGTGTGTATCTACAACTATACCCTAAAGCTGAGTTAACGCTACCTGTAAAGGCATGGNATGCCGTTTCTGGTAGAAAGAGCCCATGGTTCCCACTGGAGCGGGGGGCGTCTTCGCCTGCATCATCCTCTGTGCAACTAAAGGAATGACCTCAGCTGAACAGGCGGCCTCACCCACCCCAAGGGAGTCAACTGGAAAGGCCTACACAAAGAGGAGGGGAGACTTTCAAAAAAGGTAGAAGAAGGCTAAAGAGCGGGGGAAACCCTTCCTAGTTGTGCTCAGATTCTATGTAATATTGAAGGGAACAAAGTACTGCCCGAGGAGATTGTGGCGATACCAAGGAAAAAGGCGGCTACAGAGCGCTGCAATTCAACGTCTCCCGAGGCCCCAGCATATCAAGCAAGGGCTTCCTGTTGCTGGATAGGGAGAAGGAGGATCAAGGATCGGACTGCATGCATATCTGTCGTGAGGGAAGCAGCGGACGTCGCAGTTAGGAGGGCTGGACCCTTCCTGAGCACATGGCGAGGAGTTACTTGCGTACAGATTATGTCTAATATGTAACATTAGAGTCTTGTGGAGAGAAAGAGTGGATGTAGCAGACAGTAAGCAACGGAACCCCGTGTGATCAGCTTTCGCTTGCACAGGGTGCCGTGCATGCTGGTCGATTGAGGCCCCCCCTTTGCGATTTCGTGGGGCGCTGATGGGGAATAATGAAGATGATCACTTATGTATTGCAGTTCTTCAGAAAATATTGCAGGAGGTGGGTGTTTAGGGGCCGAAATAGCCTTAAGAGCCACTCCCGTCACTGCTGCATGCAGTGGCATCAACCGACTGGCACGAGCGCGCAAGTCGGCGATTCCCAGGANACTCCCGTCACTGCTGCATGCAGTGGCATCAACCGACTGGCACGAGCGCGCAAGTCGGCGATTCCCAGGAATCCAACAAAGGGTAGCCAAAAGACTTCGATTTACTATAATTTACATTCATTTGATTGCAAGTAGGTCTTTGCTTTGAGTTTCTCTCGATAATCGGGTTTTCCTTTCGTTGATGGGGCCGGAAGGAGCGCCGTTTCCACTTTAGTTGGAATCCCCAGGTCACCTCAAAACCCATCGGTGGAGGTCACCACTGTTGCGGACTGCATCATATGCTTAAATTATGCTGGAACGAAATTAGTCGTTGAGCCATTATTTAAAAACATTCGAGACAACGGTTTCCAGCGGCAAAAAACTGTACCGACAGGAACCACGCAGGGTTCGTTTATGTTGAGGTCTGTTGTTGGTGTTAGAGTGTTCGCCGCATTCCTTCAACAGTGAAGCCACAAAATCGTTTTCTTTTCAAAATACCCCATATAAGCCCTTTATCAGCGGAAGTTCCCAACCCATTTCAAACACGTCTCTAGTTTAACAGGCGGTAGTTTATTGGCTGCTGGACTTCCCGAGTTGACTATTGGTTGTTTCATAGAGTGACTTCAATGTTGGCAATATGTTGGATTTGAGCCTTCACCGAGTCCTTTGATACGGGGCTGCGACATATTGCCTTCTGCCACGTTCCATTAGTGCATGGCGAGATGCGCTGCTTGCTGCATGTCCGGTTTTGTGTGTTGTAATATACAGCGTTACGATGCTGCACAATGTGCATCTCACTTGTACGTGGCCCGCCTTTTCACTGTGAATACAGGAAGCAGGAGAGACGAGGATTTGTCTATGCAGTCAACCCCGACAGAGACCTTTTAGCTTACTAACGAGACAATATGCTTCGAACATATCAACCCTGTGAAGTTTAACAATAATAAATGAGTAGAGGATGGAACAACAGAATATGCGGAGACCACTTGGTTATACAAAAACAAAAGCATTAATGAACAACCAGGCGAAAACCAGTTCAGCGCTTCCGCGGCACACATAAATATAGCGTGTAAAATGGTACATTTTACACGCTATATTTATGTGTGCCGCATAGATATGCCAGGCTAAACATGTTTAACTCTTAATCATGGAAGGGCTCATGATATGGAGCATGGTAAAAAGCAAACAAACAAACGAGAAGCAAAGCCAACATTTTCAGGGCAGATGAGCAT